TTTATTACTGCATTTTTGAACCTTACTTTCCCTGGAGTGGTTTGCTGGTCATAAGGCCAATACTGATCTCAGGTGTGCTCCAAGAGACTGGTCTTGTCCACAGTAGCATGGTGAATTCACACAGTGAGCTTCTGATAGGCCTATTTCTGTTTATTTAAAAAAAAAAAACCTCAAAACATGTTTGTTTTGTAATTGCTTCCTATCCCTCTACCTTAAGGGTGATTTTTTCCCATAGTTGCAGTGTTGTCTTCAGGAGAGCCTGTGTTTTGTGACTTTGGGAAACATGCTGTCTCCTATGTGGGAATCTTTAGTATTTAGAGCCTTGCAGCTCTGGTTGTGACTGACTCCTGTCAAGGAAAACTACTCAAATTTGAGACAGCTGGAGTCCCATTTCCTCCATCAGGTACGGAAAGGCGTGGAGTGGGACTCCCTGGCTCCCTTTCCCTATATCAGATCACACTGTGTGCTAGGTAAGCCAACGCAAGAGCTGGAACTCTTGTTTCAAGTTGCTGTGCCATAAGGTTACCATCTTGTGCTATCTTGTTAAGCATTGAAACCATGAATGCTTTCTTTATCGTGGGCTTAGGTGGACATAAGGACTCCCATTACAGAAAGGTCTAGCAGGTCAATCTAGCTTGTTGATGAGTACCATCAAAGAAGTAGCATCAACATCAAAGTGATTCCATGGAAGCTCAGAGAAAGGTTGGAAAAATATTTTGCCTCACGAGAGGATAATTGCAAATGTTTGCATAAAACAGCTTGTAATGTCTAAAGTTACAGGTGCTTGCTTGTCTATGCCAGTGGGAAGAAGAGCATTTGCTGTATCTGTGCTTTCCTGAGTGGATGAGAGCATTCATGCCAGCAGGGACTTCAGACCTGTGGGAGTAAGACCAAAGGGTGTCTGCTAGTCTGGCCGTCAGTATGCTGGAGCCTTATTCAGAAACTAGGACCTGAGAGATAGACTCTGCTGCACAAAACCTAACAGCATCAATGTTGTTGCCAGATATAACTCAACAGCATTAACGTTGTTGCCAAATATAACTTCCAGCAATCTTCCGAACTGTTTCTCATTAGCTGTCCTAGCTGTGTCACTGCTGCTGACGGGAACTGGCCTTCACAATCTGCTCTGTAAACACACTTTCCAGAGCTCAGCTTGGACAGTGGTTATGGCTCTGCTGCTGCAAGTCTTCTGGGTTGGATCTCGGTCCGTCCCTGGGAAAGGATTACAAAACAGAAGGCTCATATCATCACTGTTTGTTTATGGTGATTTCGGGAAATGCGGGAGCAGCGTTACAGCTCGGATCTATCCATTGAAGCTTGCAGATTCTCTGTAGAGAACCTGTCTCCTCTGCGCTGCAGTAGCACTGATCTTAGTCCAGAAACAATTCGGGTTTTTTGGCTGCACTTTTGAGAAATTCATTCAGTCTAATGGCATTTTGAAGAGGGAAAAACAAAAATATCTAAGAGCCTGAGGTTTGAGAAGTTGGCTGTTGCACACTGGGTGGAATTCTGAATGGAAACACCCTGTGGATTTCTGCTAGGCAGAGCTAGTTGTCCAGACCTATTGTACTACCTCATGTCAATTAAGTACTAGCTAAAAACTACAGGATGGTTGCCACTAAATGCTTGTATTCTGTTGCATTTCCTAGGTTCAAGATGCCTAAGACAGAAATAAATGTGAATGCTGAATTGCTTCCATGAATTTCCATTAGCAAAGCTTTCAGAGTTTACTAGCTGCCTATTTCACAAGTGCTTTGGATAATCTTAATAATATGATAAAAAAGGCATACTCTCATAAGTCAGAAGGCTGTAAGACAATTGCAAAATGAAAGCTGGTTTAAGGTGAGTACAGGAGATGCTCAGGCAGGCGAACATGCCAGTGTAGAGCACAGCTGAAGAAGGCTGTAATATTTTTGTTGAAGGTATCTGAGTCCATACTTGTAAAAGGAGTGGAAATCTAGAAGCAGAAGAAATAGGAGTTCAGGGACACAAAGGAAGAATAAGCTTGCAATGCTGTTCTGGATCCTGGCTCTAATTTGGTCAAAACTGTGGTAGAGAGGTGCTGCACACATCTGAAAGGAACCTGCTAATATTCATCATCGTGCCAGGATTAAATGGTGTACTCAGTCTCTGACTCCAGCATCCAAGGGCTCCAGCCTGAACCCCTCCATCCCAGCCTGTGCACGGGGGAGGTTAACTTCTGCTGTGGCCAGGCTGGCAGGGAGAGTGCCACCTGGTGTTGGCTGTTAGGCTTTGGTCAGCACAGCTGCCTGTGGAAGATGGGGTGCTCTGTCTTTGAATCTTTCTAGCACAACGTTGTAAAATTCAATTTCTCTCAGCGCTGGGGTGCTGTACGCTTTGCATGTTTGTTTGGCTGGTGGAAATTCCTGAGAGTGAGTGGATCATCAAGTGCTTTATATTGTTGTTGTCATTTAGGAGAGATTTGCTTCCTACTGATTGCTTATTTACTTATTTAAATTAAATTCAAATGGTGGTTTTAGAGACTGAGGCTGCCTGAGCCTGTGTTTTGTGAAAGCCCACTGATGCAATAATCTGTGTTTATGAAAAGCTGAGTATCCTATTTGAAAGTGTGACAGGTGCACTAAGTTTTGCAGGGAGCCTGGCTAGGAGGAGATGCTCTTGTCCTTCCTGCTAGGTTGTCTGCATTGGGATCAGAGTGTGGTGAATCATGGGAACGTGCAGGGACCAGTATTATTCTCCTGTTCTCCACATGGAGATGGCCATTATAGGTCCCACGGGGAGGATGACTGAAGTGCTGCTGTTAACCAGGTTATGTCTGCATGAAGTGCTGGGTGAAGGACCTAATGCAAACCCCCTGACCAGACTTGTGTCCCCTTCCAGAGACGCACTTGATGCTGCCAGTGTGCTCTATAATCGAGTTGATGAGGGCGTTCACCGACTGGTGATGCTGTCGAACAAACGCATCCAGGAATTGGAGCTGGTGATGGAGTTCGAGAAAGTGGAAGACTGTTTTAAGGAGGTAAGGCCTGTTTGTCAGTTCCAGTGACTGCCTGCTGCCATCCTCTGACTGTACATCCTACAGCAGGTACTGGGCCTGTTGATCTTTCATGTGAAGGTGTAGAATGATGCCTGTAGACCCTTAAAAAGAACACCTGAACATTAGAATTTGGGATATGTTTTCACACGTGCTGAGAACCAAGCCACTGTTTGCCTGGTACCTCTTGATGCCAAGTAAAAGTCTCCTGGCTGCTCTCTAGGTGTGGATCAGTCAAACCCCATAAACATTTGTGATGTTTTTCCATACTTAAAGACACAATGTAGTGGCTTGTTGGTTGGCAGTACACTTAGAGGTGGGGTGAATTTTCACATTGATCAGCAAAAGTACCTTCCCAGCAAGACTGAGGAGCCATTTTTCATGCTCCACCTTGAGAAGCAGCAGAGTGATGGCAACAAGCTGATGATGAGTCCGTGTGACCCCTCTGGGCTGCAGCTCCTTCAAGGGTTTGCTTATATCCTGCTGCTGAATGAGCCACACATGGCGTATCCCATGCTAGCTGCCCATCCCTGCTGTGCACTCCATTTAGTGCTCAGGTCCCTGCTATCTGTTAAGCCTCAGGCACACTCCTTCCCCTCTGGGTGCAGCCCCAGGCACACTCTTTTTGCCTCTGGGTGCAGCCCTGTATACAGTCTCCAGGCAGGGAAACAGCCTCTTGTTCTTAGCTCAAGAGCCATGCTCAACCCCCCTAACCCCATGTGGAAGCTTAAAATTCTCCTTCATGTAGTGCTCATTGAAACTCTTTACAGCCGTGGGATAACTGAAGCAAGCTGGCACTGATTTTTCAGAAAGACCTTTGAAACCTGTAGCCGTGTAGATAGAGAACCTTAAAAAGTCATAAAGTAGCTCAGGCTGTCTGGGCATCCTACAAGATCTGATCAGTTCTTTCAGTGTTACAGATCCCAGGTGTGCTTCTTAAGCCTGAACTCTGCCTCAAGATTATGGAGTCTCCTTTGCTGTAACTCATCAACAATGGGAAGGTTTTTTTCATATCACTTATTACCCTGTGTGTATGAAGGGTTGTGTGCTGTTTGGAGCTCACCTTAGGAACCTTCATCCTTGAAGATCAGTACTAGGACCAGTTTCACCATTGCTTTTCTAGGATTCTGGGCTCTTCTCTGGAGAGAACTGGACTGGCGGAAGAGGCTGTAGGCTACCTGTTGTTTTAACAGGCCAAGGTTGATCCAAGAGTTTTAATTACTTACCATTTGGTGATAGACACTCAGGTGCCGTGCACTATGTGTTCAGGACAAGAAGTGTGATGCAAGAACCTAGTAAAGACTCCATTAAATATACAGGTTCTTAATACTATACAGAAGTGAAAAAAATGCACAAAGGCAGTCTCTGCAACCTGTCCCTGCTTTAAGCTGAACTTTTTTTGATTGACTTGAGCAAAACTGACTGCTCTCAGCTTACTTTGCTTGCACATCACCAATGATGGCAGCATTGCTGGCAGCAGCTGATCCTTGCTTTTAAGCCTGCCTAGGAGCTCTAGGCAGCAGCAGTGTGCCCCTTTGCAGTATGGGTCACAACCTGGGAACCCACCCCCGTCGTCTCCTCTTGCCAATGGGCTTGTTCCATGGGCATGGATCTTCTCTAAGTCCAGAAGACTAGGAGTTTGTCCTTGACTGTGGGGTTGAGTTGGGATATGGGTTGAGATGATACAGGAAAACAGGATGTGTGAGCATTAGGAAACATTTAGTCTGTCCCTTCCCCCAGGTGCAGCTATGCCTGAAGCATTGCAGACAAGTCTCCTTGCCTGTTTTTAAAACCTACTGTTGATGGAGATGCTGTGTTATCCTGCCTGGCCTCCTGTGTCTGCTTTGCTTTTAGGACATTCTTGTTAGTCCTCTACCCATGTTTGAGGATCTAGGCTTATAACTGCAGCAGTGGCTGGGCTCTATCGAGGAACCTGCAGTTACTGCACGGCTTTGTGGCGAGCTGCCTTCAGAAAACCAGTAGCTGAGAGTCCCAGAGAACCGTGAAACATTGCAGATGGGGAGAATCCATCAGTATGTTCACACTGATGTAGTTCATGCCCTGCCAGTTAGCAAAGGGAAGTGGTGTAGGAAATCTGGCAGTAGGGAGACTTTATCCCACTTTAACAATAATAGAATATCAGGCCAGCCTGCAGGTTGCAGGGCTTGCATTAGATCTTGGCTCACCCGAAACAGAGCCCAAGCAGCTACTTGCCCTGTTTATGCCTAAGGCTAGTGAGCAATGGCAGAGCTTTGCAATTACTCAGTAACCTGCAGTGGAAAAACTCCTAGCAGGAGTCTCAGGCTGAAATACCAGGATGGTGGGGAGAATTGTACATGCACATTCTTTCCAGTAATGAAATGACCAGGGTTATGAGAGCAATTCCTTGCTCTTTCCACATAAAGGCCTACCTTGGTGAGTAGCATGGAGTGACAAATAGTGGAGCTTTTCCCTTTTCTCCTAGGTCAGCAGTTGGATCGAGAATGTTGGCAGAAAACGGCTAAAGGATACGATCAACCTGGACGATTCTTTGGAGATGCTGCTTCAAGCGCAAAAGCAGTTCAGGGAGTTTGATCTTGTTGCCAGTGTAAGTGTTGTCTGATTGGAAAAACATATCCTCCAGAATCTGAGCTGGCAGCATATGTGCCTCGTACGTGCTCAGCCAAACCCATGATGCTAAGATGGCATTGGTAGAGGGTTCATCACCAAGGTTTGTGTCATTCCTTTACACTGCTTGGCTTCCCTGCTCTCCTCTTGTAGATAAAGTCACCAGCTCAACCCCTCAGTAGATGGTATTTGCCAGTTTTGAGGAAAATAACTATTGTAATGGAAGATGGATTTTTTTGTTAATCCCTTAATGTGCTTGTAACACTCTTTTTTTTTATCGTAATTGACCTGTGGCTTTACTGTGTAGGCCTTTACAAGCTGCTGCATGGCTCATGTAAATCATAACAGAGGTCAGGACTCTCCAGAATTCTGCTGTAAACAAGAACACCCCTGCTCATATGATTTGAACCTTAAAAACCAGTCTAATTAGTCCTAGCTGTTAATGACCTTGAAGACTATCTACTATCCATGTCAGGTCCCTATCCTCATATGCAATTGCATTTTGCCTTCAGGAATATTGCAGAAGGGGGCAGGAAGCACTAAAGAAGATGGATCGATGGGAAGACTTTTCCTCTGTGGATGTACATTCTTACAGGGTAAAGCTGCAGACCTACAAAGATCAACTGGAAGAGTTCTGCACTCAACTGGATGAAAACAGGCATCGAATCTGTGAGACAGTCAGGCTGTATGAATTCTTTGACAAGGTAAGACAAGGCATCTGCTGCATGGAAGAGGGTGTAAAAAGCCTGCTTGGACTTAGTCCAGAGCTGGGTTGTTTATGAAAGATGTGAAATGTAGTGTGTGCAGCAACAAGGAGCTGGATCTGTGACCTGCAAAAGTCCCTTCATGCTCATGTGCCTGCAGTGATTTTTTTTTAAGTTGGTATGTGGAAAAAGGGGTGGGTGTGTATTCAAGAAAATGTCCGCGTCTGTTAAGAATAGAGGTCTTCTGCTGTCTGAGCTGTAGCTTGTAGGCCCCTCTCGTGGCCGCAGTGGACAGAAGAATCATGGCAGTGCTGGCTCGGACACTAAGGGCCAAAAGATTGGCTCCTTGTGTCTAGTCTTGGCCACCAGGCCAGAGTAGGCTGTCTGCATTTTGTTCATACAGTATCCTTACACACTGGTAAATTCAGCCTGTTGACACATCAGGAATAGCACCCTGCTATTCAGTGCTAAATAGAGTCCAGCCCCTCTCTTGTGGAGGCCTGTGTGAGGAAAGGAAGCACCAGAGCAGGGTGCTGGGCAGTGTGGCTGAGGGACCCAAGGGGACTGGGTTGGCCTAGGCATCTGGGAAGCAGGAGGAGAGGGGGTGTGTGGTGGCTGTGCTGAGTGCCTGGCCTTCTGACCTGTTTGGTTTAATGCAAATGCACCCATTCAGCAGACCTGCAGTTGGATATGGTGTCCTTTAATTTCTAAAGCTGCAGATGAATAAACAGTAGGATTTTCTAAGTGCGTTTTAAAGTACAGCTTTGGCAAGCACAGAAGATCAGGGGGCTTGTGCTCCATTTATTCCACACTTGTACAAACATTGAGGTTTGAAGTTCTCAAATTCCAGAAAGAATAGATGCTAGAAGTTAAGCTGTACCAGATGTAGGTGCCACTTAGTTGCTGTCTCTGAGCTGCCTTGGCAGCCAGAAGTGCTCAGGGAGGGGGGAGGAAATTCAGCTAAACATGAACATTGAGAAGCATCCTGTGCGAGGGAGGAAGGTGGAGAAGGCAGCCCAGAACACTGCTGTCAGGACAGGAGAGCATGGAGTGAGTTTGGTGATGCTCTGCATGTCTGTTCTAGCTCATCTGTGCAGTTTGCTGTGCAGGTGGAGGACTCTCTTGCTGTGGGAATGTGTAATATTCTCACACACACCCAGTGAGGAGAAAAGTGCCTTCTGTGCTGTAGGAGAATGGCAAGAACCTGCGCTCTGCTCACTCATTGAGCACAGATGTTCAGGGGCTGCTCTGGTCCTTGAACACCTGTTGCCGTCATGGGGGATCCTGGCAAGGATCCCCGTAAGAAATATGACAACCATCCTTCTGATAAACTGAGGCACACAAAGGTGCCAGGTCTTGCTTGGCATCTTGGCAAGTCTGGAGCCAAGCCAAGCCAAACATTGGTCTTGTATGAACCTACACAGTCAAAGTTGGAGATCTCTGGAGCACAGATGTAGACTGTGGCACATGATGGCTGCTCTGTTCAGGCATGGAAACTACATCACAATAGCAGCTCTTGGGCTGCCGGGGCAGTCAGACATGACTCAACAGTAATGGGTGTTCTTCCACAGCTTCAAAGCCTTTCAAAGCCTGGGTCATTCTTAGGGGCACAAATGTTACACAGACGCCAAAGATGGACCATTTGTTTTCTTAGGGCTTTATAGCACTGCTCATACAGTTTCTTTTTGGTGGATGACCACTGAGGGATGCAGTCCTTGGCGACAGCAGCAGCATCCCTCTTGGCTGTGCCTTTCATGCTGCACAGGCCCAGTGAAAACTGAATGATAGCGGCACAGTGTGTTTGCGCACTGCTTTGGTGTGGAGGAGAGGTATCTTGCTTAGTGAGGGAGGAGGATTTTGATCTTGCTGGTTTCAGTAGAACTGTAAACAATGCTGGTGGTGTAAATACAACATGTGTGTATTGTGAATCAGTGGCCAACCGAAACCAGGGGTGTGGAGGGGATAGATACATCCTGCAGCTGTAGGATGAGTGCAGAAGTTGCTGCACAGCCTGAAAGTTCTTTCAGTACTGGTTATTTTGATCTTCCTCTCCAGAATGCTTTCTGCCTTCCCAAAGCAAAGTCAGTAGTGTGGTCTGGGTGGTGGGGGGAAGGCAGATTTTATCTAAACTGGTTTCACTCTCTTCTGATGCTGAGCTGCTTTGACCTTACTGCAGTGTTCTTGTCAGTGCCTGTCTGGGGGGGGGGTTCCCTTCTCTCTTCCCTAGTATCTGAGGGTATCAACAGCAGGAGTCTAAACTAAGCAATGTCCTTGGTTTTCCTTCTTGTAAAGAGCCTGCAGCATGCCAGACCCCAGGATTTGGGGAAAGAGCCTGAAGATGCGTAAGCAATGTACACTGTGGTAATGAGCTGGCAAGCTCAGATCTCTCCAAACATCTCAGCATGCGCCAAAGGAGTGGAGCACCCACCACAGGGATCACGGTATTCATCCCTCGCGCACCTTGCTGCCTACTGGGAATGGGAGGCTCTGTTCTGCTGGCCCTTCTTCTGCATGTGGTGGACAAGTGTTTTGTAGGGTGCTGACTATGACTGCTGGACAGGCCATGGGATAGGACAGCATGACCCCATATGGTCCATCAAGATGCCATGCTGTGGTTTTTCACTGCTTGGCAGTTCCTGGTGGTCTGTCAGAGCTCCCTGTGATGAGGCAGGCTGAGCTGGGCCAGACCGCATGGATCTTGCACATGGGCTGGCAGGGTTCCTTCCCCAAAGCCATGACCGGTGCCAAGCTGGATGTTTCCATTTGTCCCCGTTTCCTTTGCGGCAGGAGCTCTCTGTGCCTGACAAGGGCTGGATGATGGCTGGGCTGAGGCAGGAGGAGCTGCCTTCCCCATCTCTGACTGCAGGCGGAGGATTGTTTTTCAGTACTACAGACTCAGTGTGGGCATACTCGGGGACCCGCCATCTTCCTGTGGCTTCAAGCCTGGTCTGGCTGCTGTCCCTTGTTTACTCAATTCCAAGACTGTTGGGATCTGGCACCAAGCAGTGCTTTGGGGGAGAACTGGGAAGCTGAGCAAGCAAGGGTGTGTATGTTGTACCAAAAGCACTGATGTCTGCTTTGTTCTGGGGTACCTGAAAGGGCAGTCCCCAGTACCCTTCGCTCTCACTCCTGTCCTGGCTTCACAGTAACACTGCCATAGGCACTTTACCAGGAGGAGCTAGAGTGAGTCTCTGTCTCCTTGCTTACCTTGGTAGCCTTCACATTTTTTCTTTCCCAAGCTTTCTTTTGGTGAAACTATTTCCCAGGTCATTCTTATATCCCCAGCTCTCTGCATGCTCTTGACTTTACCGTGAGTGAAGTCCCCAGCTGCCTGTGTCCACAGGCTTGAAATAGCCCACGTGAGAGCTGTGTGCCCTGTCAGGACCACAGCTACCTAACTCGCAGTGGCATGTCTAATGAGCCAGAGCACACAGCATGGTCTCTGCCAGCCCTGGAATGACAACCAGTCCTGCAGAAGGTTGGTAGTGAAGGCACGTGATACTTGCTGGCAAAAGTCACTGTGTTGGAAGAAAGCACTGACCCAGCCGGAAAGGGCAGAGTCCCATCACACCAGCTCAGCACCTCCATACCCTGCAGCTGTGCGGTGGTGTGGTGCCCAGACTCTCACAGCTGAACTGCCTGTATCAACAGGAGGGCCTGAGGCAGCCTCAGGGGCTCTTTCCTGCTTGTCAGGATGTTGTGCAAGATGATGCCTCTTTTGGTGCTCAGGGAAAGTATGGGCCATGGCCTGGGAGCCTGTTGCAGTTTGGGCCCTTGCCTTGCATTTGCTTTCTGAGGGAAGCCATTTCGAGGCCCGGTGCTCAGGGTTGTTGGGGTGTGAGGATGATTGAGAAATGGTAGCATTTCCCTTGTTGGGATTTCTTTGAGCTCTGTTCCGTGAGCTGTTCCTTCAGTGGCGTTCTCTGGCTACCATGCTTGGATCCCTTCTCTCAGAGGACTCCTGGCTGTCAGCCTGTGCTGATTCTGGTTCCTCAGTACTGATCTCTAGCCATCCCTGGCTTCTTTCTGCTGCACGCTAGGAGCTGCTGCTTCTGAGCTCTGCTTCGAGAAGGCAGTGTTGCCCAGCCCCTCTCCATCTGTGTTGACATCTCTTGTAGAGTGGGTTACCTATGCTCACGTGTGGATCTGCCCCCATAGCAGGTTCCCCTCCATTCTCCTCCTTCTCTGGCTGTCCTCCTCAGCCACTTTGTTCTTTGTGGCTTAGAAAACAAAGCCTTTGGCAAGTGAAGGAGGTGCCTGCCCTTCCTGGGGGAGGGCCAGCTGGCCTGCATTTGATTATGGCAGCGCCTCCTCATCTCTCCCCATTGTCCTTGCTGTTGTAGGAATGCCAGCCTTTTTGCACTCCATCCCCTGAACAAGTGTTGCTGCCTCTGGGGCCCAAAGAGGGGCTGGGGCCCTTCTTCCCATCCATCCAGGCCCTGCTGGCAGGAAAGCCTCTCTGCACATTTCCATGCACCTTCCCTCTGAGTTGAATGCACCCCGTCCTGACTCCGGCAGCAGACAGACACAGCAAACCCTCCTGTAAGTACCAAGTATCCGGTGCCCCGGCTGACATTGGAGTTGTACTGAGATTGTTTGGAAACAATGTAGAGAAGGGTTTTCACTCGGTTGCTTGTGCACGTCTGTATGAATCCAGCATGAATCAGAGTGCTTTGTGTGAGTCTTTTGTGCACTCAGACAGAGCTCTACGGGCTGTGTGCATCTTTGCGTGGTCCCTCCAAATCCTGGGGTTGCGCTGCCTGTACTACAGCAGTGCCTGTCCCTCTTTCTCTTTATTAGAGGTTATTGCATGATGATTTCAGTGGGCATAATTTAACTGCAGCTAGAAGTTGTTGCTGGGATTGCATGCCTCCAGACTTTGCGGGATGTATGCACAGGGCAGGTGGTACCTTTCGATCTGCCTGGACTTCTGTTAAAGGCTGTGGACAGCACAAGAGGGGGCTGCTCTCCTAGACTGCTCCAAGGTTTGCTGGGCTCCT